TGGGAAGGGATGTGAAGGGTAAACAAAGGAGGAGGCTGCAATGCTTGGTAAGAAATGTATGCATTATCCTGCCCATGTAATTGTAACCCCTCTGTACAATATGTTCACAAAAAATAAAAATTAAAATTAAAAAAAGGGGTCACTAACATGTTTTAATAATCATCATTTCTCTAAGAATGGACTACATCATTTGATATCAGAATAGAATATAGAATGACAGCAAGGTAGAACATAGATAAACTTATAGTCTGGTTTTAAATGCCGAGTTACGATTTAGTTGACACAAGTAATCTGGAAAGTAAGAATCTATAGCTGAAATAAATTATTCTAAAATTGTAAAATTTTGGTATTAACAAATCAGCAGAATAATTGGTTTGTTCTTATTTCCCTTCTCAACCTCTGGAAAGCACATCAAGAAATCTGCTGCCAGAACCATTTACAATCAAGTTGTCCTGTTTACAGGTCTTTGATAAGCTGTTTCTATTCTTTAATAAATAAGAAATGGTGCCATTGTCCCTTACTAAATAGCAGAGGTTTTACTTGAACAAAATCTGTTTGGAAATGTTAAGCTGGTTACACAGAACTAATATGCCTCAAGGTGGTCATTCTCTCCGGATTAAAGCTGTGGAACAATTGTGGCTCCTGTTACAAGGAAAATTACAATGGGCCATTATGGAAAGGGACAAAAATCTCTGTTCCCAGAGGGGGACTGACAAGCTGAAAGTCCCCCTCCACATGCCCACACAAAAGCCTGATTGCTTCAGATTGTTTGTTTATGTAAATCAAAGGGTGCCATTAATTCTGCAAGGGAACTGCTAAGCAGTAAAGGAGGTGTTGATTGGCTGGATTCTTCCTTGTGGGCTGTTGGCAATTTTGACAAATCCTATTGCATTTATTCTAAGCATTGTCTGGACACTTTCCGTAGAGGGTTCTTGTTATGTACCAAAGAAGATAATTTGTGTTTTTAGAATAGGAATTGGAACGATTGGACTCCAAGACCAGAGAAGGCATCTTATCAGGGATCTGCTAACTCAGTTTCCTGGACACTGTCTTCAAATTGGACTCCTGTCAGTGAACATCATGACAGATGTTTCAGGGACCTTGAGGGATGTAAAGGGTCATGGGACTAGAACCCCTGAACATGGTCAACAAACCACCAGTAAAATCAATGAGAAAATGACTGAAGTGGATAAGACCCCACATACTACATACTACAGGGAGGATTCCAATCCTGAAGATTTACCCACAGAAGCAGATCAGGAACAAAGTGGAAAATCACCAGGGAACACACCGGCTAGCTGGTCCGTTGATGAGAAGATTGTAAAAGGTAAAGTATTTCCTTTTCTCCTCAATTTTCTTGGTTTGATTTATAAACTCACATAGGGTTATTATTTTTTTGTAAACTGTTTTAATAGGAATAATCTAGGTACCCAAGAAATATAGCCCCTTATCAGACTAGAACTGCAAATGACAAGGACTAAATCTTTGTGTCTGAAAAAGCCAGAATTATCTACTTGGGAGCTCTTTGATTCTAAACAATTTCATCTCCTTAAGATTTTCATCACTAAAATATGGAAAAAATAATTGCAACTTACTTGTACATTTGTTGCAAAAAGTTCTATAGGTTGGTTAAATGTTAACTACTGTTATTCATCATTATATGGGAGGCTCCATAAAACTTGAGCAAAGAAAATTCAGAATTTGAGTATCTGCTATACATGTCTGAATTTACACCTCTACATCTATAAATGTTAAAGGAGAGATATGAATAGAGGGATTGACCATTAAATACATGAAATGAGTTAAAGAGGAATCTGGAGCATCAAAAGAATTCATAATGAAATGAGAAATCTGCCTAAACTCTATATTGATAATATGTGAGCCTTTGAACTATACTTATTTTAAATGTTATAATATAATACTTATATTTTCTTTCTCAGAAAATCCAGAGGAGAACCTCTTCGTTGTTCATAAGGCCATCACTGATCTTTCTCTCCAAGAAACAAGTGCCGAGGAAATGACATTCAGAGAAGGTAGCAGGAGCTAGCATTCTCTAGACAGAAATTGTTTGACTGGGTATTATGCAAAGTTGTAATTTTGCATAAGATGTTGCATGAGTGTGCATGAAAAGCAATCTGGGCAATGACTTCAGAATCTCCAGACTGCTAGAGGTAGATAAGTGAGTATTAAATTTCTCTTGTTTCTACCTTAATGAGCAGTCCAGAGATAGCCTAAGACTAAAATTGCCCAGATTGGCCTACCAATGTAATACCTCTCTCTTGAAAGTTAGTCCATTAAGTCAACTTTTCAATGGAAAATTTATGTCTCCAAATCTGTGTCAAGCACCTTGAAAAATGTTTATCCTAAAAAGTTACTTTTGATACACAATATAATTTTATAAATTGATTTATTTTATAGAAAAGTTCCAGGCTTGTCATATAAGACGTTTAACTGCTTCTTGTTAAAGCAAGCTCTCAGTGATGAAGATTGCTTTAATTGTATTCTTAAAGTCAATAGGAGAATAAAAAGAACAGTGAAGTTCTATATTAAGTTTTAAATAAAGCCAGTAGACTAAGAGATACAAGATCCTTTAGACAGTTCTTCTAAGAAGACACTTACATTTAAGCAGTTTCCAAATAAGTGTTACATAAAATCTATTAATTAATCATTCTTTCTCTCTGCTGCAGCTTTAAATGGCTTATCTCAAAATTGAAGTCTGTTTGTTAGACTAGCAAGTTTAATTTAGGATCTTAACAAGCAAATCATAGAAGAAACTACTGGTTGAAAATTAGAACGTCACATAAAATATCAGATGTTAAACCCAGCTTCCTGAGTTTCTCTTTTTGCTTAGCTAACTCTGAGACTGTCTGCTGATACCTAAAGGAAAGGACCACAAGCAAGAGCTAGAAATAATTTATAATACTTAAAACCACACAAAATAAACTAAATAACTTATTTGTTTTAATTTTTCTGCTTCCAAGGTAACAATTTTTCTAAGAGGTGGGGGGAATTACAACATTCCATTTAGAGCCCCTTTCAAATTTCTGATCAGGAAGCTCACTGTAAACATCAGTTTTCTAGAATCTTCTATTTTGATCAAATGGAGACTGAAACAACCTCTTTTTGGACCAGATGGTCTCACCAGTGAATTTTTCCTTGCTTTAATCCTTTTGTGTTTGATGTAGCATGTGCTTTTCCTTTCTGATAGAGGCACAGATTTTGGTCTCTTTTATTTTCACAATGACAAACAGCTAAAAAATCCTCAGAGAATGTCCCTGGATTGAAAAGTATAAAGATGCTAAAAATATTGAGGAAAAACTATAATTTAAATGCAAGGAGTAATTTCATTCATGACAATCCTATGCCTGAGTCATGAATATGAACAAAAAATCAGTTCCTTTGATTCTTGTGGAAAAAAACAAAACCAAACAAAGCTTTCATATAGAAAACATTCTAATGTAGATGTCTGTAAAAAGAATATTGACTAGATACCAGCAAACTTATAGCAACATACATAAACATGTGGTGTGATAATTCATCTTTATTTCTATTGCTCTACTTTTAAATTTTGATTCCTAGGTTTAAAAATAAGCAACAGAAAATGAAACGATAACTAAAAACTTTGCATGAAAGTGTGTTTAGGCACATTTTTCAGGGAGGATGAAAACTTGCAAGGGCGAAAGACAGAGACAACCATTGTCTTTCATGTTGTTTATATAGATTTGCAGTGTTGAGAGGAAATGGCGAACCCTGGTCTGGCAAGTCATCCAACCTAGACAGTATGAATCAGTCATGCATATCATAGGCTGTAAGAAACTTTAGCCTCTTTAGCGTGATAGCTCAGACAACAACCTCTGTTTTTATAATTCATTCTGAGTAAGCAGCTCAGTAAAGCGGTTTTATATGATATAGCTGTTTCAAAAGTGATGGTTGCAGGAGATAAACCTTCCAAAAGTCACTATGAACATGATATCCAAATGACTTGTGGCTAAATAGTTATCACGCAAGATATATCGAAAGCAATGGGTGTTACATGGCTAGGACCCCAACATGATTTCTAAACCTGGACTCTCTAGAAACCAGTGCCAGATGTTAGACTGTTTCATGCATGCTTTGGTGGACTTGGTCCCTTAGTTGCAAGCACACAAGTTCTTACTATCTCTAGTTCTCTGCTCTTACTCCTATATCTGATTACTTTATGAGCACTCTTAGAAACACAATGTTAAATGCCCAGTTTGTTATCTGAATGTGACCAGACATGAACAGTCGGAAGAAAGACTTTCACCCTGAGGTATTGCTCTAATTTTCCTTGAGAGATGTCTGTTGTAAAGGAGGTAGGCCAAGACATTATATATATATATATATATATATATATATATATATATATATTTGCATATATATATAATCACATATACAGTTATGACAGGTGACAAGATTTGTAAGTGTGTCAGGGAATATTAACCTTACTATATGTAGTAGTTCATAACAGTAGAAGCCCATGGTCCAATGAGGTTGAGCCAAGGTCTTTCCTGATAATTTACAATATTCATTAGTATTTTAAAATCCTAGATAATTTTTGAAGTTGATTATTTAATTATACTATACAACTTATTTCCAGACTCATTTGACTGTGAGCATATTTGATCCTATAGAAGGAACTAATAAGATCGACTCACATACCATAAAACACAAGTTGGAAAATGATTGTTACAAAAAAGAATGTAAGAGAATAACACCAATGAGCTTCATAACTTTGGAACTTCAGCACAGCTCAACTATCAACTGATTTTTCTACAGGGCAACAATGGGAGAAGATTCCTCTCAGTAGCAGTACCCAGGAAATAATCCGACTGAGGGAAAGCATTGCTGAACAACCCCTTGAAGAGATAGATGAGGATCAGGAAAACAAACCTCCTCAGGCAACAGAAGTTGAATGGCTGGGATTTCGGAAACCTAACCAAGTTGACATATTGCAATCTAAACACTTAGAGGAGCAAGAGGTTTGGAATGAAGAAACTCATGATGAGGAAGAGGAGGAAGACTGCAATGATGAAGATGAGGTTCGAGTAATAGAATTTAAGAAAGAACATGAAGAAGGCTCTCAAATCAAGGAGGAAGGTGACACCAGTGAGGACTCCCCACTGAGCAGCCCCAGTTCCCAACCTGCCACACCTGATGAGCAGCCCATGCTAGGAAAGAAGGGAGATATCTCCAGAAATGCTTACTCTAGATACAACACAATATCCTATCGCAAAATCAGGAAAGGGAACACCAAACAAAGAATTGATGAATTTGAGTCTATGATGCATTTATAAACTCACTGGAGCTGAGAAAAATCTCATAGCTCCCAGAGCAAGAGCTAATTCAATTGTTCTCGGATGAATCATTATCTATTATGGAAAGATGCATGAGCTTGCTTTCTCTGTAGACAAAGGTGAAAATAACCTTAGACAAAATTCATTCTGGGAACCTGCTTACATGGAAAAGCTTTAGATGCATTTGGGCATTTGCTTTTAAAAACGATTAATATAGCACTATAACTTAAACATGAATGTGTCAGCACCAGTGGGAACTCTGATATGATTTGGCTTTAAATGTAGCAATTCTGGTAGGTAAGCATCAAATACAGGGAGTCTATTAGAAATGACTTGTATTTCCTTTGGTGTCTTTCTGTACATTGAGGTTATAGAAGGCCTGGTATTAAACATTTCCTCCTTTTAAGCATGGTTCTTACAGATTCTAGAAATAAACTTTTCCTAATCATTGTGGCTGCTCTAGGCTCCAAAAAATATTCAAAGTTTCTCTTTGACATCTATTAATGCCCTAGATCTCCTTCCTAGGTGTCACCATTCACTGAATTTTCTCACTACAGAGGCTGAGTAATTGCTAATCCAGAGAATTCTGTTTGCTAAATGTTGGCTTTATGCTTTCATACTGAATGAAAACCATTGTGAAGTTGGTACAGTGAAGGGTTATATGAGTGACGATTAGTGAGCAATATTGACTAGAGAGTCATGTGGGATAGTTTTATCTTTGTGACTGAAAACAAAATCTGTGTGGACTAGTTAAAGCCATTGAAAATTAAAAAATGACAGTTTTAGCACATTTTAAAACAATGCCTCTCTCAATTACTGCACTTCCTTTTATTAACAGTACCTCAGAATGATGATTTTATTTCCTTAGAAATCCGAGATAATGCTAGTCATAAATGTACTAGTTACTATGAAGATGGAAATAATTATCTTAAAATATTTTTAAAGTAGGTTGTGAGGATATATTTTGAGAGGTAGCATTGATAGTTGTTGAGAATATATAATTTACTGGACCTCAGCCCAAATCAGGAAGCTTTAAATTATATTTATGGAGCTTCACTCAAACCAATGTGTCAAATAATGTATTGAATATTTATGAAAAGAGTCTGTATTTATATTCTTAGATAAATGTTCCCCATTTAAAAATTATGTTTCCATATATATTACTCTGAACTTTCTGTTACCACAGATCAAAATACCATGGGCTCTACAAATAAAAAGACAATTCCTTATTGTCTGAATGTAATACAGTCTTCATTGTTCTATTCAACCCTCTATTTCTTTTCCACTTAGTGAAAAAGCTGGGGTTACTCCTTCTTAGATTATTGCTTATTTATGTGTAACAAATCCCACATATTCTCTTGGCAACTTGTTTAATCCTTCCTGGTCACATAATACATTTTGCACAGTACTATATACCATTATGTAGTGTTCACAGGGCTCAAATTTGGATTTAGAATTGGAGTGCTCCTTTTATTCCTTCAATTAATTTACAACTGACCATAGGAAAAGTTTTGTTATCCTTAAACTATAAGATCTGAAGATTTCATCAGAGACAATATCAGTTTTCAAAAGAAAGTGAGGGAAATCAGGTATTTTGTTAGTATTATGCTCACGTTTGGTCCTCAGCTCCACCCAGACCTGAGCTCCTTGAAATCAGGCACTTGTTCATAATGTTAGGTAGAAGATTGATATACTAGGACAATTTCCTGTTTGCTTAGATCCTCTAAATCTTTCTATTAAGGCAACCTAGTTTTCTTTCCTGAGACAATGAGGATACCTATAATGTTCTACTTAACTTTAAAGCTTGGTATTTTGAGCATCATAAAACAAGATTGTATCATTAATTTGTCATAAAGAAAACCTGTACATTTGAGTTATTCCAACAGAGGAGTTGAACTCCAATGGGATATGAGTAGGCTGGATTTTCTATGGCTATGTAATATAGCAAAAGAACTTTCTCTTATGTGGCTTCCATAGATCACAATGCTTGTCTTTTTAGCTATGTGCACTCACTATCCAATTAACTGACTATGAAAATATTGTCAACAAAGACTATTTTAGGGTATGCTCAGTTAGTGAAAGCTTTATGTTCAAGAAGGAGGCTATGTAGTTGCAAAAGAACACTGACCATATTCTCTGGCATCTGTGTATATTGGCCTAGTTGTCTTTTTATTTTTATTTTTCACTAGGGACACACAGTTAAACAGCTTGAGTAACATGATGGAGATGGGTGGCTATTTGACTCCTTGTAGGTGGGTAGAGACAAAGGTCTAGTTCAGATTACATATTTAACATGTTTGAAATGCATGTGGGACATGATGTAGTTAGAAAATTTGGTAACAGCACATGAAAGTTTACTTAAGTTTTTGTGATTCAAAGTTCAGGGATGGTAAGAACTCTGGTACTCTTTAGGAAGGAGAATTGATTTATTGGGTGAATGCTGATATGCCTTACATGACTTGATTTTTCTTTTGCTGTCAGATGAACAGGAATTAATGACAGCATTATTTCTGTGTAACAAAGTTTTCCTTTCAGGTAATTATACAATTTCTAGACACGGTATTTTCCAGAATCTCTCTCTCTCCAATTTAAATAAAAGATCTGCTATGTCTATATGTTGTCAAAAGAAGTATGCATCTTTTGTTTCTGCTTTCTAAACTTTGTTTCTTCATCTACCTTATAAAAATTATAAAATTATTAAATTTAGTAAGAATACGTCTACATCAGCAGTTACTAAGACCATTACCAGATGACTTCAAAAATCAAGATAGCATCTTCAATTCATTTGCATTCTTTATTTCAAAAAGGTCTTAAATAATTGTACATGAAATTCCAAAAGCAATTTATTTTTTAAAGCAATTTCTTGTATGAAGATATATACTATCTGTGCTAAGATTCTACTACTTTATAAGAAAATGAGGTATTGAGATTTGTGTTAATGCCAACAATGTAAAAAATATATTTATCCCTGCAGTAATCAAAGTAATTCATTTTAACTATGCTGACACTTTTATAGTAATTGTTTCTGCATATTTACATGGGGTAGTTCTTTTGGCGGTTTTTTTCAAGTGGAGAATAGACCTTTAAAGTTTTTTAAACTGATAGAGAAAACATTTAAAATAAATAATAATAGAAAATTATGCAAAGAGATGGAACATCAGAGTATTATAAAGAAGAAATATATTTGGCCATATGAGAAAAGCAACTACCTCTTTCAAGCCTGAACTTTCATTAAACTATAAAAACAAGAAAGTTATTAAATGTAATGTTGAAAGTTATATTTTCCAATATTAAAACATCAGACCTCACCACATCACAACATAAATATGAAGACCAAAAACGTCTACTCAGCTCATAAAGAACACATAGCATCAACAAAGCCATAATGGAAGGGCAGCAATAGGCAAGAAATCATCCACATAGATGATAAAGTTCAGAATACATTAATAACATCTAGTTACAAATTGTCAGTGTAGGAGAATTTTGGAAATGAAGTTAGAAAACAAATTGAATATCCATAGATTTAAAAGTAATGTTTTTGATTCTTTATAATAATTTCAGTAGGTCAGGTGCAATTAAAAAGGGTATTTAAACATGTTCAAGTAGAATGGAGGAAGAAAGGATAAGTAAATGCAGTCATTGTATTCAATGTACATCATGTAATAATTAAACTACATAACTTGAGGGTAGGGATAAAAAGGAAGTAATGGGAGAGAATAGTGAGAAGGCTGACACTGAATAAGATGCATTGCATTCATAAACTTACTTATGCAATTGCAACCTCTTTGTACAACTACCCAATAATAAAATTAAAACATGTTCAAGTAACTCCAAAGTTCTTTTTTTTATTAATAAGTTCTTTTTATTGTGAAAATACCGTACAGAGGGATTACAATTACATGGACAAAGTAATGAGTGCATTTCTTATCAAGCATTTTTGCCTCCTCCTTTGTTTCCCTTCCCATCCCTTCCCATCCCAGTCTCCCTCCCAGCCCCGCCCCGCCCCGCCCCTCCCCCATCTTCCCCCTCCTCAACCAAAGTTGCAAAGTTTGTTTTTCCACAAACAACTTGTACATTTCATTGTTGCAATGGGCCCACCTGTATCCCTATTTAAACAATTTGTTTTTTCCCTTCCCCTCCACAAATTATACCAACATCAAATACAGTGAAAACCGGGTTTATACCGTGGGGGAGGGACATACAAAGCAACAAAGAAACCACCTTATAAATATATTAGAAACAATAGCAAGAAAAAAAAAACATTTGAGACCTTATCTTGGGGTTCATTTCACCTAATATCAACATATCTGACCTTTTCTGCTTGTCTCAGGCATATACTGGTTATTGCAAATAAGGGAAACCATGGGACCTATTTTTCTTTGAGCCTGGCTTACTTTACTTAATATAATTTTTTTCCAAGTCTTTCCATTTCCTAACAAATGGGCAATGTCATTCTTTCTGATGGAGGCATAAAATTCCATTGTGTATGTATACCACATTTTCTTGATCCATTCATCTACTGAGGGGCATCTGGATTGGTTTTATATCTTACTATGGTAAACAATGCTGCAATAAACATAGTTGTGCTGGTAGCTTTAGTATGGTCTTGTCTGTGATCATTTGGGTAAATGCCCCAAAGTGGGATTGCTGGGTCATAGGGGAGCTCTATGTGGAGTCTTTTGAAGAACTTCCATACTACTTTCCAAAATGTTTGAACAAGTTTACACTCCCTCCAACAATGCAGTATGGTTCCCTTCTGTCCACATCCCCTCCAGCATCTGTTGTTATTAGAGTTCTTGATGATAGCCATTCTAACTGGGGGTGAGAACAGATCTCAGGCCAGTGGAATAGAATTGAAAACTCAGAAATGAACCCACAGACCTATAGCTATCTAATCTTCCATAAGGGAGCTAAAAAAACATAATGGAAGAAAGACAGCCTCTTCAATAAATGGTGCTGGCAAAATTTGTTAATCACTTGTAGAAAAATAAAGCTAGATCCTGCACCAGAATCAGCTCCAAATGGATCAAAGACCTCGGAGGCAAAGCAGACACCCTGAAAACATTACAGGATGGAATAGGAGAAACCCTAGGTATCCTTGGCACAGGCCAAAATTTTCTTAATAGAGACCCAGAAACACAACAAATCAAAGAAAGGTTGGACAAATGGGTTTGCATGAAATTGCAGAGCTTCTGCATGGCAAAGGTCATAGCGAGCAAGATCAATAGAAAGCCCATGGATTAGGAGAAGATTTTCACTAGCCATACAATGGACAATGGTCTCATATCTAAAGTATACTTGGAACACAAAAAAATAAATCCCCCAACAACAAATCCTCAAAGAAACAACTGCCCAATAAATAAGTGGTCTAAAGACTAACAGAGAAACTTCTCTGAAGAGGAAAGAAGGATGGCCAATAGACACATGAAGAAATGTTCAACATCCCTAGCCATAAAAGAAATGCAAATCAACACAATGCTGAGATACCAACTACAAAGTTCCTTACAATCTGTAGTTTTTACACTAACAAATGCTTTAAGGTAATAGCAAAATTACTCTCTTGCTCTTTGCATCCTCTTATTTTCTTATAGCTCATATGTATAAGACTAGCAAAATGTGGGTGGCTGTTTGAGAACAAACAAAAAACTATAGCAATTTCATATGATGACTTTGCCAAACAACACCCAGAATGAAAGTCCATTTGAAATACTTTTGTGCAGAAGTCCCTAAGAAGACACAGCTATGTAACTAAAAGACAGTTAAAAATATCTGATGACATTTCTTATTTCCTTTTTGTTGCAATAGAGCCTCTGTATTTTATTTCTTCCCTATTTAAAGTATCAAATACACACACATACATACACAAACAAACCTGTATCTATATTCACATATACATTTAGACATTTTTATATAAAATTGATGTTTTCAAATCATCAGGTAAAGATTAAAATCTTTATTCATGTTACCAAAAACTTTAAGTTTAGAATGTGATATAAAAGTTTATTTACACAGATTTTTAAACAACATCTTAAATTGGCAAATATTTATTAATCAATAAAATAGAAAACCTCTGTTTTCAAGGAAGTTATTGTTACTTATTTGAAAACAATGATCATTATTAGGAACTCAATATACTTAATTTGTCCCATGTGCTAGAAAATGAGAATTTTCACTTGTGTTTTGTTTGTATT